CATCATGGAAAGTACATATTTGTAAATTTTCAGGGCATTTAGCTATGCCAAAAAAAAATGAAAAATCGCCAAAGATGGCGGTGTCGAAAACGTGCTCATGCACTCACTAATTTTTTGTTTTTTTTGTTTTTTGTTTTTTGTTATTTTTATTATTAGTATTTGTTTTTTATTTTTATTTCAAATTTGGTAAGGAATTTGAATGTTATGCTCAGGCAAATCTTCTTTAATTTATTTTTCTTCATAAAATATCTTTTTTTCAGATGTTTTTGAATTTTTTGATTTTTTTTTTTTTTTTTTTTTTTTGGTTCGCTAAACGCATCCCCAAGGGGTCCCATACGTTCGGGCGTTCAGGTTCGGGCGTTCGGCCCGTCCCGAACGCCGGTTACCCTTATACATATACATATACATATATATAGATATAGATATCGAGTGTGAACGATATATAGATATAGATATCGAGTGTGAACGATATATAGATATAGATATCGAGTGTCTGCGCGGCCTACTGCGACCGTGCGTAAGGGTTAGACAATTTATACTTTGAGCGAAGAGAGAGACCCCTCTCTTTGCTCTTGCTTTTCAAAAGTTTTTACAGTTAGATGTTGATGTCCGTAGCAGCCGTCAAAGTTATCTTGACTTCTCTCCAGGCCCTGGATGATGGAGCTTGTCCCCATGGCCATAAGGGTAGACTGCCACAACAGGTAGGAGCCTGTGTACCACCCACTCTCTGTAGGATGCAGAAGAGGGTGTGGTGTTCAACCGCCTTGGAGGTTGTCTAGCGTTGAGAGATTAACCCCTAAAGGCGCGTGTTAGTCGACACTTGAGTGTCAAACGTGACCCTCGAGACCACATAGGGCCACACGATCATCTAGGCATGGCTAGTCGATATGAGTAAGCTAGCGTCCACGTGATATTTATTTCGAGCCTCGCGTGCGATGCCTAACCGATTTTCGTGTCAAAAGATTATGGGTCGGATGCAAAACGGACTAGGAGTGTTTTGCTTGTGTGAGTAATCTGACTTTTTCTTGGTGTGGTGTAACACGTGGTAAGAAGGATGCATCCTAGGCAACCAATGACGAGCAACACCTGGGGCTTCAGCCCCCCAGCGCGTCGGTTCACGAGCGGGTCCGATAGAGGCGTGAGACCGTGCGTAACCCCTATGCTACAGCGTACAAGAAACACCCTCCGCTAGGCCACCTCTGCGATTGCAATTGATTAGCTTTTGCACGTGGTTCGATAGCTTGGCGGGGATACACCCATTCAAGGGTGGTGACAGCCCCTTGGGCGAAGGTAAGTTGTACCTCGTGTCGTCCTATCTTGTCGTAGGGGTTCGCGAGAGGTGTGGCTGGCGCACTCGGCCGGAGCGGCGACAGAAGATCCATTGCAATGCGATAAAGGATAAAGACCTGCATGAAATCCTGCGTGACGCGGTCGGGAGGGCCCCCTTGCGGCACCGATGCGCTTGACAATGTCCCGAACCTGTGGTTCAACGACGTGTCTGAAGGTGTGCAGCCCACCCCTGAGCCCAGGAAATCGTCTATAACCAGTACTGCCCCTTCTTTATCCTCGCGTGTAATGAGCCCTCCATCCGGTTGATATGGCTGATCGAGAGGCAGTTTAAGGACAACTGTCATGGTCCTCAGGAATTATTAAAGGTCACAAACAGGACGACGATCACAACCAGTATTCAACTCAGATCTTGGCAGAAATATTTATAGACGGTCTGGTAAGCGTCTCGTGTAGGACTAGTCAGTCCATGTTCCCTCTAATGTGCGGCAAGCAGAACCAAGGACAAGCGGCAAACCATGCATATACTAGTCCCAGCGGGTTGGCATGGTGACCGTGACCCGAGTGCTTCGTCCAGGGCCCTTTAGAGGCAACACTCGTCTCCCACCAGCTTGCTGCCCAGAAAGAATGTCGACTCTCAAGGTTGAGCGCTCGTCACACCTCACAATGAGAGGACTCTCAAGACAAAACTCACTTTCTCACGGTAAGAAGTAATGAAGAGGGTAGATAAAGCAAGGAGCAACGTACCTCATAGTGCTGCCCCCAACCACAGATTTCTCACCAGTAACCTGACGTGCATTTATGATGATCGGTCGACGCCTCGGCACAACCCACGATGCAATGCAGTTCCACCTCGGCTTAAATTGCCATGTCAGCAAGCTCTCATCATCCAGCGTGCACCCCTATGTTGCCACATAGCCTTCCTGGCGCGCCCACACGACATTGGGCCGCCTATCTTCCCACGCACAAGCATTATCACTGCCCCACCATATCCAGCGGAGCACCAAACAACTATTGCGAAGGAGCTAGCGGAGCGCTCGAACCAGCTCCGATACCAAATTGCAAGGAAAATGAGCAATAGCGAAATTACAGATTCGAGATTGCAAAATCATATTGAAAGCCAGGAAGTTCGACACTGTCTAGAAAGCAGAATTGCACCGATTTTACACCAATGCGGAACCAAAACACTGAACCCGAGTGTTAATGAGAGCATACTCTCGCCATCACCAACGTAAGTGTGCAGAGCCTCTCCTGCTACTTGCCGCTCAGCGCCCAGACTACTATCACGCAGCTACTACCAGGCTTCGAATTGACAATGCAACCTGTTGACGTCAGCAGCAGAACTGAGATACATGAAGATGTCGACCCTTGTAGACTATCGCTAGTGCCCTCACATCCTCCTCCTCATCTCTCCCTCTCTCACTCTCTCTCCCTCGACTTCTCTACCCACATCTTCCTCCGATACACTAAGACCACCACCACCTCCACTGGCTATGTCCAAGCCAAGCCTTGGCTACGTGGTGCTGGCTATGGCGCTGCCCTCAGCAGCACCCTACACCCTGCACGTCCGCACGTGCACGCACGCTTGCACTAGTGCAGCTAGCAGCCCGCGAGCAATCGCTCCAGCAGCGCTGCCGCCCACAAGTTGCAAGTGCCTGAATGCCAAACTCAGCGCCCGGCCCGTTCCTATATGGAAAGTGGCGGGCGCCTTGTCTTGCCACGCACACGTGAGACCGAGTTCCCAGTAGCTTCAGTCTCGGCCAAGGTGTCTGCGCCCAGGCCCGTTCAGACAGCGGCCTGGGACCGATTTGGTTAGGCATGCCCAACCACCGAGGCACAATCGTGCGATGCTCCCTGCTTACCCCACATTGCTGGAAGGGCCTGGAAGGCTCGCGAATCTTTCCCATTCTCACCTGATAGGCGGATGTAATCAACTGGCGCGTGGCAACTGTCTGGCGCCGACCAAGATTTGCAAAAACTGACGAGTTCAGGGTGCATTGAGATTGAGGGGGCCCGTCTTCACTTAGGGCGGGCACGCGCCTGCTGAAGGGCCATATGCCGAGGGGTCAAACCCTCGCACCAAGTTCAGGTTCGTCCGGTAGCGGACATTCCAGGGAAGGCCTGGACATCAGGCAGGGACCCAGATAGGCCGTTTTAGGCCAGGGCCAGAGGAGCAGACTTTTTCCTGCAACCTGGTCCTTGGATCGGACTCACGATCTCACGGTCCAGATTGCAGGCCACGGGCACACCAGCCAGGCCCAGCGCTATAGATAGCTGGGCCAGTCCAGGGGAGAGACGGGGGCATTCCGATCCTTGGGCGACACGCTGCTGAAGCAGTGAGTTATTCCTAGCGCTGCGCTGCTTCGAGGTGGAGGTAGAGGTAGGAGTCAGGGAGGCGAGGAGAGAGAGACGGTGGCCATACCTTTGAGGTGCGAGCAGCTTACCTGGGCGCCATAGCTGGTACCTGCGCCGGCGACCTGCAAATAGAGGAGCACGACAGCTCGTTAGTACATGGAAGCAGTTACCTGCAAGTGAGACAGCGAGGAGGACAACATCTTCTTCTTCTTCCTGTTGTCGCTCTGCATCTCTTCTGCTTCCTCTTCCTCTTCTTCTTCTTCTTCCTGTTCTCGTCCTGATCTCTTCTTCTACTTCTTTTTCTTCTTCTTCCACAGAGAGAGAGAGAGAGAGAGAGAGAGAGAGAGAGAGAGGTTACAGGCAAAGGTTATATCAGGCCCAGGATCTGATTCAACATTATAGGGGCAGACATTGATTGGACATTCGGCAGGGAGACTATTTTTGGACTTCACTATCACGATCTTGGTCGTCTCCCTCAACCCCATCTCCGTCTTGCTCCTCCTCCCTCATCTCATCTGTGGTATCTCCCCATGTGCGGGTCCAAGGAGGGACCTTTCTTCTATGTGTGCGGTCCCTCCTCCTCTCTCACATGTGTGGTTTGTGATGGGTTGAGTCGCGTCAGTATCTGACAGGTCAGGTCATATCTTTGAGTCTTCCGCTGCGCTACATTGCGCTATTTTTGTTTGTATATGGATGTACATTGCTTGTTGATGCTTCACTGATGCTTCATTGTCCGTCCTTATCATCACTTTGCGGATCCGCTGGTGCTGCATTGTCCGTCCTTATCATCACTTTGCGGATCCTTTGGCTCCATCGCTCTATCGAGCATGTATCATTAAGGAAGAGATTGAGATTGAGGGTTGGAATGGAGAGAGTAATGAAGAAGCAGCAAGGGCATTGAGAATAGTGAAAGAACCGTGTCTGGATAGCGGCTTCGCTTTCCTCTCCTTGTGGACCGGGATATGGCGAAGATTCTCCTTAAATACAGATCAGCAGTTCTAAAGGAGGATGCTCAACTTTGGGCGAACAAGCCACCGCTACATAGGGTGGAGTTTTTATGGGTTTATGAAGGACAGCATTGTGATTTCAGGTTCTTGGATTGTGCCTGAATGGGTTTCAAATTTCAATATGTTGTGTTTGGGAGTAGATTCAGGTTCTTGGATTGTGCCGGAATGGGTTTCAAATTTCAAAATGTTGTGTTTGGGAGGTGATTCTAGTTGTCACTTGTGTCAAGAAGTGCAAATGCTTCATCATCTCGTCTGCTTTCGGATGAACATATACCCCACTTTGATGCTCTGTTTCAGAAGAGGCAATTTTGAACTGGACTGATTTTGATGGTAATGCATTTGATTTTGCAGGATGCGTGGACGATCCAGGAGGTGGGGCCAAGCAGGAAACAACCCATCTCCCCCGAGGCAGAAGTCCCCAAGCTGCTCATCACCTTCCTCTTCCCGGGGACAGCCAACAGCACAGGCTCTGTCAGCTCAAGAAGAAATCTCGTCCTCACCACCCCCGGGAGGGTTGTCTCCTGTCACAAATGAGTCCTCATCTTCTGCAACAACAGGTTCGCTGCCGCAGAAAGCGGCAAGTCCTCCGATTGCACAGAAGCCCACCACCAGGGAAGTACCTCCTCGTTCATCATCACCATCCTCAAGCAGGAGTGTCATTCCGGCTGTTGGAAAGGAGGACTGCTCTCAAGACTCGAGTCGTGTAGCGGGGGAGGACAACAAATGGGCTGAGCAGCAGATGACTGATAGTCGGGGGGGTAAAGGCCGTGTTGCCGAAAGCCTAAATAACTCTGTGCCTCTGGATGGAGGGAAATCCTTGGGAAGTGATTGTGCCGGTGAGGGAAATTAATTAAAAGATGATGGATGAGAGGGAATAAATTCCATATATCTATGCCACTGCATTAGGATGGGTGACTGACCATCTGTTCGTGGTAGGTGTTTTCCACAGAGAGCTTGATGGTGAAAAAGGGACCAAAATCCCCATGTATGAGAGGGATGGCAGAGTGTTTTGCGTTCTTGGGACTGCTGACCGTCTCAAAATTGTTTCTTGCCTCAATGTTTGGCTGTGCAGAGAGGTTTTGACCTGTGGAACCCTGTACGCAGGTCGATTGCCATAGACCTGCTTGTGGAGGAAGCCAAGCAGTGGAAAACGGTTTCCCCAACTGTAAAACTTCACAATTAGGGCTCGTGATTGGTTCTCTTGTGTTAGTAACTTAGTATCGAGTTGAAAGCACAATTGCCCTGCCTCTTCCTTTCATCAATCAATGAGTTGTTTCCTGGCAGTTGTGAATATTCCTCCCTCCGTGTGGTATTCAGCCGTGCTGTTTCATGCTCTCACCCTCGGGCCCATGGGTCCATCAGTCCCATGTTCATAGCACATAGTCCGTCCTGATTCCCCCTCACCTGCTACACAATGCCCCACAGTATGTTGTCAGCAGCAATGTTGCATGGAATTGCTGCTGCCGCAGTGTCGGGGACAGTGGCAGCAGCAAGTGTAGTTGGCATGTTAGAAACTATATATGCTTTTGCAGGCATTCTTCACCAAGTGTCGGCACAGCGCCACTCAGCTGTATCCTCACCAAGAACCATTCTCGGCCAGTCCATCATATGCACGCTCAGCTGTTTGCCTCAGTGCCGTCCGTCAAACTCCTATTCGTTCATTCATGCTATAATTACCATTTGTCGCTACCGCGCCTGAGGCTTTATGGGCAAATTTGCCTTTTTTAAAGTTTTTTACACCACCTGTTTTTCTCCTTGCATGTTCAAATTTCGAAATCAGCTGAGATGAGGTCGTACTCGCACTAGCGCTTTCATAAATGAATCTGACTTCAAGTACGGCCAAACCTGGATGCATGTGACCGCAATCAAGTCAAGAACTCGGTAGAAAAGGTCCAAGTGTTGAGCATGCCCGGAGAAGGGGGGATCCAGGGTGCTCGAAACTTGGCTAACGATCATTCGACAATTCATCAGCCCCATTGTGCATGCCACAACAGGGCTGCATGATAATGTGTTGCAGAGAATGTGAGGCAGCTGCATGGCAAGTGCCATGATGTGCGGTGGTTGCAATGTGAAAGATTACTACCTATCTGTCAGTGGGTGGAGCGCTTCTCACCACATGGTTGCACGGATGCCAGCCCAGCAGGTCAAAGGCGATGCTGGATGGAAGACGATTGCTCAAGGTTTGTAGTGGTTGTGGATGATGATACAGACACTCACCTGGCATTCAGCAACATTATGTTGCGGGATGATCAGCAGAACATGGAGAGGGTGGAAGCTGTACAGTAGTGAAATAGTTTTTAAAATAAGATTAATGGTGTGCGAGAAGAGGGGAGGAGGGGGGCGGGGGGGAGCTGTAGCAGTAGGAGTAATAGGTTTGATAGCACCACACGACCCAGTCATTGGTGGGTTTTATGTGAGATATATACATTCACATGTACATGTGTTTTGCTCCTTGTGCTTTGTGTAACGCCCTATTGTAACCCTCCTTTTCTGTTTCCTGCTGCGTGCACTCAGTCTCTGGCTGATCTGCAGTCCAGACCTAAGCTGTTCACGAGCTCTTGTCAACAAGCAAATGCTTCAAGTTAGAGAAGCAACAAAATTTGTCTTTCAAGTTGTGGAGGCATTGCATATGCTTCCCAGGCTTCCTGACGGCATTGGGAAGCCGAAGGTTTGCACTCATCCTGTTTCAAGTTGCCGTCCTTATGCTTGTCTACCACTCATCCTGCTTCCGTGCTCTTCTGCTTCATATTCTCTGCCATCTTCATCACTTTCCACACACGCTTTGTTTCCTAGTGTCAATCACACTAATAAAAAAGGGAGGAAATTGAGGGGAGACACTGAACACCTCCCCCATGAACAGTGGAGGGAGCTGTCCAACACTCACCCACTTGTTGCAATGCATTTTCTTTGGCATGCATGCAGAGGTTGGCATAATGAGAAAGGAACAATGCTCAGGGGTAGGCAAAGTTCTCTCTCTCTCTCTCTCTCTCTCTCTCTCTCGCTCGCTCGCTCGCTCGCTCTGTGTGTGTGTGTGTGTGTGTGTGTGTGTGTGTGTGTGTGTGTGTATGTGCGTGTGTGTTTGTGTGTTTGTGTGTTTGTTTGTGTGTTGCGTGTGTGAGGGGGTGTTCATGCAGGATTTTCATGCAGGATTTTCAGGCCACTGATTAGGTTTTGATGCAACAAGAGGTGGAAACATTCTTGTGCCCTCAACAGTGAGGCGTGGGTGGGCAGGAGGCCAGGGGAAGGGGGTTTGGTCATGGAATTCAACGGCTTCCACACATGCATAGGAAGGGTGGCTGCTCAGGACAAGCAGGATGCTGTGCAGTGGGTGATGACGAGGTCGGATATCACCATGTCGTGTGCCACAGAGAAAATTAGAAGCAGTGTGATGTTGAAATGGGGACAATGGGAAGTGAGGGACTTCATTCAGGTACACCAACCCCCCTTCTGTTGTGGAGCAATTTGTGGCCGTAGTGTGGTGATGTTACCGTCGGGGCATGCCTGGTTAAGGTCGATATAAGAGTCACTTTTTGTGCGAAGCATATGCTCAGACCCAGATGTATGCTTGTGAATGTCCAAGATAGACCAATGACCACTTAGGTGAAAACATCCATCATGTGGTTGGAGGTAATGCTAACTAAGGGTTGTTTCAGCTTCATGAACTGATGCTGAAATGCAAATGGAAGGAGAGGGAGTCCATTTCGATAGCCCTGCTCAGACCCAGATGTATGCTTGCGCGAATGTGCAAGATGGATCAATGAGTTTCTTAGGTTGTTTCAGGAACGGGGTCGACAGTCTCAGGAGCATGGCAATAGTTCATTAGAAGAGGAGAGAGCCAAGTGGTTGGATTGGTTGATTCGTTTTTGGAAATGCGAAGATTTGACTGCCATATATGACACCGGAATCAGAAATATTTCGGTCCATGCGACAAATATATTCCCATTCTTTGTCACTGCAATAACTCAAACTTGAAATATGCAATAGTCTTCGTGCTGCAGAAATATGCATTCGTTGGGCCTCAGGGCCAGAACAGGGGCCAAATGCCACGCCCAAGTCATAGAAAATTGCCTGATATACGGCCTGCTGCTGTGGGTACCCGAAGCACGGCCTAAACATGGGTCCCAGAGGCCCTGCGTGCTGCAGTTGACCGTGGAAGTCAAAGGTCAACAACAGCTCGGAAATTCAGGCTCACGAGCCAAAGTCTACACGGTCCCAGCCCAGACCACAGACCAGACACACAGATTTGGTTGTTTGCAGGTATCTGTCAAGGATTCAGTCCAAATGGGAATCTGCAACTGTATGAAATCCAGGCCGTCGACCATGGGTCAATCTGGGCTGCTGTATCTGCAATACCGGAGGCTGGACAAGCCGAGTCAACACTATATGTTGATTCAGCCTTGCTGACTGTCATTCAGTCTTGCAGTTGCTGCTCGACGCTGGCTGAGCGCTAGCCCTACGCTGGCACAACACTGGCTCTGCGCTGGCTTGACATTGGACGATTGCGTGAGACTGCTATGCGTTTAGTTGATGCTGGCGCTACCTCTATCTTGGTGCCAGCTGGATCAGAGAGTATGCTGACGTGGCACTAGCCACTCTGTCTGCTACCGAGACTATGCTGATGTGGCATTGGCCATACTGTCCACAGCATTGATTGGGGATTGGAGAGGAGGAGGAGGATCAGGGCTGTGAGATTGGTTGATCGAAGGGGAGCTTACCTCAGCTGTTGATGACGTTTCGACATTGCGCACTGCTGTTCGTCCTCACGAACTATCTGCGCTGACAAGCGCTACAATGAGATCTGTTCTTTGTCAGATTGCGACAGAGGAGACTGCCTGCTGATGTGGCGAGGGGAGATGCCCGAAGAAGAAGAGGGAAACTGAGGGAGTTCTATCTGCTTTGCTGATGGGTACTTTCTTTTCCACTCTCGCAGTCTCATCTCCCTCCCTCCATCTTCTTCTCTGGTGACCAGACATTGGGCTACTTGATGATGTATATGATTATTTGGAGACAATGAGACCGCGCTGAGACATTCTGTATTTTGACATTGACAAGCTTCTCTCCTCACTGGGTTCATTGCAATTTGGTATCGGAGCCATATCCTGCATTTTGTCGCTGGCTTCTGACGTGTACTGAACCGCTCAGAAGTATTGTATTGGCGCGATCATTTGCGCGCGCATGTGGTAATCGCGCGACTGTACTCACACTCGCGCGCTTATCTGATGATGATGATGATGAGATGATGATGTGGACGTGATCTACACTGGCAATGTAGTGTTGACATGCCATTCAGGAAACCAGAGAGAGAGAGAGAGAGAGAGAGAGAGAGAGAGAGAGAGAGAGAGAGAGAGAGAGAGAGAGAGAGAGAGAGAGAGAGCTGCTTACCTGGTATTGGGAAACACCGCTGACGTGGTATGATGATTTGGTGCTGACGTGTCACCTAAGACGAAGCAGCAGGTGGTAGGATCTGACATGGCACTTACCTGTGTCGCGACCTACCTGTTGGCGTGGCATCCCCGACGAAGCAGCATTGTACTGGGTTGACGCGGCTCCTTGAAGATTGGCATCCAACTTGATCCAAGCGATTACATAGGGATTGGCAACCTTTTGCGGCTTATGTGGCAACGAAGTATCTGCATTAACAACGACCTATTTGGCCATTGATGCTGACGTGGTACCTCTCTGAATGATGTGTCACCTTGACTTGCTTGGAGAGTGACATGTGGAAGGCTTGATCTATGCTGCCATTCGCTGAAGACTGGTGGGAACAGTTACTTGCATTCATGAGACCGACGGGTGGTACGGCAGTGTAACGGCACTAGATTATGTTGTAGTGCCACACGTCAGAACTTGTACCTGGTCATACAGACATCTGCATGAGGACAACAAGAAGGAGATCAGTTAACCATTGTTAACTGTTGTGTGCTGATCTGTTGTTGATACTCACTTGTCGTTGGTTGGCTGTCTTGTGGATATTTTGCGAACTGACCATTGTGCTGTTGCCTTGATTACACTGGCCATGGCTGCAGAACCTGTGCACAGACTCTAGAAAAGTTGCCTTGATTACACTGGCCATGGCTGCGGAACCTGTGCACGGACTCTAGAAAACATCATCCGAATAGTAATCAGCAGAATTAGAAGTAGAACTAATTGAAAATCTTGAATCCTTTGTGGAATTGTTTGTGTTCATTTTTACCCGGTTCATCCTGTACTTCTTTTTCCGTATCTCCATTACTCTCTTCGCTGATCAAGAAGAGGTAGTGATGAGAACACGTGGCCAAATTGAAGATAGATGGCAGCAGATGTTGGGCCGTCTTCGCACGTTGCTTACAGAAATGTGCGACGCTGGGCCTGAAGTTGAGCAGCATGTTCGCAGCCAGCTCGATTTGTGTGCGGCAGAAGAACTTACAAGGGCTGAAACTGCTGTTCAGATGCTGGAGATGAGCGGTAGAGTGCAGCAAGTGATTGATCATGGACGGATGGCCCTTGACATCTTTGTCGCCACGCAGCTGGCTGAGATAGCTAAAGTAGACACCAAAGAAGAAAAAGGAGAAGCGTCTGAGAAAAAGGAAGAACCGGAATTAACAGAAGAAGTCATGGATGCCACAATTAGACTGTTACAAACTGCTTTGGAGGCAGAACTGAAAAGGAAAGAAGCCTATCAGAGAGGGAAACAAGGAAAAGAAGAGCAGGCAAGAAACGTTGAGGAGATAAAACAGAAATTTAATGTCGAGGGTTCATAAATTGATCTGGTGTCTGTCTTGCAGAACACGATGGCTTACCTTGCATATCTAGAAATCAAAATTAACAATGTCACCGCAGAATTGCAGACGGTGACAAGATTAGTAAAAGGAAAGAACAAAGTTGTGCATGAAGAGGTAGCCGAGGAGAAGAAAGGAAAGGGAGAGCCTCAAGAGAAACTGATGGAAGACGCCATGAAAATCAAAGAACCAAAAGAACCCGAACCCACCAAGAAAGAGACCCCAAAGAAGGATGAAGGGGAACGACTAAAGAGAAAGGAGAAGGTGAAGATGAAGTTGTCCTACAACAACAAAAGAGGTGAGTACCTCCTCCTTTGGATTGCCGAAATCCAGACCTATTGTGGCACCGCTCCTGTAGAACCAGAGAGTCAAGTTGCTTTCTCCACCTGTTTGGGAGAAGTTGCCAATAAGTGGGTCTTGTCTGAAGCTAATGTTGCTGGCTTCAAGGACATGGGTGAGTGGGCGAAAACCATGACCCTGCGGGAATTTCTCCAGAAAATTAAGGAGAGATTCCTCGACAAGACAACGGCCGACAAGACTTTTGACGAACTCACCACGATTAGCCAGAAACGTTGGTCTACTGTTGATGCTCTGTCGCATGAAGTTGATCGTCTTTTGCAGGTACATGGACTGAACCTCCAAGACAACCAAGTGTGTTGTATATCTAGTCGCATGCACTGCCTGAGACCATACGCGGACAGCTTATGGCAGAGTCAAAGTCTGGAAAGTATAAACTATCGGCAGTTCTGCGACCTTGCGCTCCAGCGAGAACAGATGACTGTGCAGGTTAAAGGAACCTACGGTAACGTTGTGAGAGGTGGACCATCAGGTGGGTACGGGAACGGGGAGTCTTGTGGCAGCAGAAGCGCCAGGGCCACTGTTACATACTTCAACGAGTATGGGCAGAACCAAAGATCAACCAATATAGGATGAGCATTTATGCAGCAGAAGTCTGATAACGAACTGGCTCACATAGACTGACTCACATAGACTGACCTACATGGCAGCACTCCACACATATACAATCATGAGATGGTGGGGTCTGGGTCATGCATAGACGATACCCAGATCCCGTACACACATACACAGATGAAAGGTGGGAGGAGAGACGAAGGAGGTAGGAGGTAGATCACACCGATAGGTCACAAGATAGAGTCCGATAGGTCTCCGAAATGGTAGTCCAGAATGTCATATAACAAGATCAAAATGTCGAGGACCAAAGGTCACCAATGTCGGAGATAACCGAGTCCAGATATAACCGGTGTCCAACTGTGATGCAGCCGAGTATCAACCTCAACAATCTCCAAGTCTCCAATCAGGTAAGTATCACAGTCTCGTATCACCGAAGTCCAACTCTGATCTCTGTCCAACTGGATAGTCTCCAATCTGAAGAAGAAGAAGAAGAAGAAGAAGAAGAAGAAGAAGGAGGAAGAGGAGAGAGAGAGAGAGGGGACTGGCGAGGGAGAGGAGGAGAGACCCTCCAAGCTCCCGGTACCTCAGGCGGCAATGGCCGCCGTGCTGGCTCAGTCGCCCTGCTGCTGCTCCGCTCGCTGCTGCGCTATGCTGCGCTCCTGCTTCAGCCCCTGCRCTAAGTTTAGCGCATAAAAACAGTACACTSGTACTGACCATGCCGTGCCGRTAGAGTTCCGGTAGGCCGATGCCTCAACTGAGGCGGGTACCGGTACTTATACCGGTAGGCAATGGTCTGGCCTCAATGCTGCGAGGCCAGGCCAGACCCTGGACCGTCCAGATGGACGGTTCAGCCTCAATCGGCGGGCGGCAGCTTCAAGAGCGCCGCCAGGCCCAAACGAAGTGTCGTTTGGGCCTACCCGATGGGTGCTGGTCCAAAATCAGGCCTTTAGGGCCTGTAACCCCAAAAGGTCGGGCCTTTAGGCCTTGGTGTGTCCCTCCGACCCTAAGTCGGGTCCGGTAGGACCCGTGTGAGTCGAAGATGTAACACACTCCCCCTCTTAAAAGTCCGAGCTACCTGCGAGGGCGAAGTTGTCTGTCTGATACCGGGGTGGGTCGGGCGGGACGAGCTGCGTCCTTAGCAAGGCGTCGCTTCTCATAGTCTGTGAAGATGAGGGGTGCAGAAGTCTACAAATCTTCACTGGAGATCCACCGAGTGTCATCAGGCGCACATTGCTTGAATGTGAC